CTGTTGGAAAAGAGTCTTTTAGCTGTCGGGAAAGAGCCTTTCATTTGTCGGGAAAGAGTCTTTTAGCTGTCGGGAAAGAGCCTTTCATTTGTCGGGAAAGAGTCTTTCAGAAAGAGCCTTTCAGCTGTCGGGAAAAGCCTTTCAACTGTTGGGAAAGTCTTTCAGCTGTCGGGAAAGAGCCTTTCAGCTGTCGGGAAAGAGCCTTTCAGCTGTTGGGAATGAGCCTTTCAGCTTTGGGAAAAGTCTTTCAGCTATTTTTCAGCTGTTGGGAAAGTCTTTCAGCTGTTGGGAAAGAGTCTTTCAGCTGTTGGGAAAGAGTCTTTCAGCTGTTGGGAAAGAGTCTTTCAGCTGTCGGGAAAGAGCCTTTCAGCTGTCGGGAAAGAGCGAAAGAAGCTGTCGGGAAAGAGCTTTCAGCTGTCGGGAAGAGCTTTCAGCTGTTGGGAAAGTCTTTCAGAAAGAGCCTTTTGTTGGGAAAGTCTTTCAGCTGTCGGGAAAGAGCCTTTCAGCTGTCGGTTTCCTTTCAGCTGTTGGAAAGAGCCTTTCAGCTGTTGGGAAAAGAGCCTTTCAGCTGTCGGAAAGAGCCTTTCAGCTGTCGGGAAAGAGCCTTTCAGCTGTCGGGAAAGAGCCTTTCAGCTGTCGGGAAAGAGCCTTTCAGCTGTCGGGAAAGAGCCTTTCAGCTGTCGGGAAAGAGCCTTCAGCTGTCGGGAAAGTTTTTCAGCTGTCGGGAAAGAGCCTTTCAGCTTCGCTGTGGAAAGAGCCTTTCAGCTGTTGGGAAAGTCTTTCAGCTGTCGGGAAAGAGCTTTCAGCTGTCGGGAAGCAAAAGAGCCTTTCAGCTGTTGGGAAAGAGTCAGCTGTCGGGAAAGAGCCTTTCAGAAAAGAGCCTTTCAGCTGTCGGGAAAGAGCCTTTCAGCTGTCGGGAAAGAGCCTTTCAGCTGTCGGGAAAGAGCCTTTCAGAAAGCTTTCAGCTGTCGGGAAAGAGCCTTTCAGCTGTCGGGAAAGAGCCTTTCAGCTGTCGGAAAGAGCCTTTCAGCTGTCGGGAAAGAGCCTTTCAGCTGTCGGGAAAGAGCCTTTCAGCTGTCGGGAAAGAGCCTTTCTTGGGAAAGTCTTTCAGCTGTCGGGAAAGAGCCTTTCAGCTGTCGGGAAAGAGCCTTTCAGCTGTCGGGAAAGAGCAAAAGAGCCTTTCAGCTGTCGGGAGCCTTTCAGCTGTCGGGAAAGAGCCTTTCAGCTGTCGGGAAAGAGCCTTTCAGCTGTCGGGAAAGAGCCTTTCAGCTGTCGGGAAAAGCCTTTCAGCTGTCGGGAAAGAGCCTTTCAGCTGTCGGGGAAAGAGCCTTTCAGCTGTCGGGGAAAGCCTTTCAGCTGTCGGGAAAGAGGCTGTCGGGAAATTTTCAGCTGTCGGGAAAGAGCCTTTCAGCTGTCGGGAAAGAGCCTTTCAGCTGTCGGGAAAGAGCCTTTCAGCTGTCGGGAAAGAGAGCTAAAGAGCCTTTCATGTCGGGAAAGAGCCTTTTCAGCTGTCGGAAAAGAGCCTTTCAGCTGTCGGGAAAGAGCCTTTCAGCTGTCGGGAAAGAGCCTTTCAGCTGTCGGGAAAGAGCCTTCAGCTGTCGGGAAAGAGCCTTTCAGCTGTCGGGAAAAGAGCCTTTCAGCTGTCGGGAAAGAGCCTTTTCAGCTGTCGGGAAAGAGCCTTTCAGCTGTCGGGAAAGAGCCTTTCAGCTGTCGGGAAAGAGCCTTTCAGCTGTCGGGAAAGAGCCTTTCAGCTGTCGGGAAAGAGCCTTTCAGCTGTCGGGAAAGAGCTGTCGGGAAAGACCTTTTTCGGGGAAAGAGCCTTTCAGCTGTCGGGAAAGTCTTTCAGCTGTCGGGAAAGAGCCTTTCAGCTGTCGGGAAAGAGCCTTTCAGCTGTTGGGAAAGAGCCTTTCAGCTGTCGGGAAAGAGTCTTTCAGCTGTCGGGAAAGAGCCTTTCAGCTGTCGGGAAAGGTAAAGAGCCTTTCAGCTGTCGGGAAAGAGCTTTCAGCTGTAAAGAGCCTTTCAGCTGTCGGAAAGAGCCTTTCAGCTGTCGGGAAAGAGCCTTTCAGCTGTCGGGAAAGAGCCTTTCAGCTGTCGGAAAAGAGCCTTTCAACTGTTGGAAAAGAGCCTTTTCAAAAGAGCCTTTCAGCTTTCTGTCGGGAAAGAGCCTTTCAGCTGTCGGGAAAGAGACTTTCAGCTGTCGGAAAGAGCCTTTCAGCTGTCGGGAAAGAGCCTTTCAGCTGTTGGGAAAGAGCCTTTCAGCTGTCGGGAAAGAGCCTTTCAGCTGTCGGGAAAGAGCTTTCAGCTGTCGGAAAGAGCTTTCAGCTGTCGGGAAGAGCCTTTCAGCTGTCGGGAAAAGAGCCTGTCAAAGAGCCTTTCAGCTGTCGGGAAAGAGCCTTTCAGCTGTCGGGAAAGAACTTTCAGCTGTCGGGAAAGAGCCTTTCAGCTGTCGGGAAGCTGTCGGGAAAGAGCCTTTCAGCTGTCGGGAAAAGCCTTTCAACTGTTGGGAAAGTCTTTCAGCTGTCGGGAAAGAGCCTTTCAGCTGTCGGGAAAGAGCCTTTCAGCTGTTGGGAATGAGCCTTTCAGCTTTTGGGAAAGTCTTTCAGCTATCGGGAAAGAGCCTTTCAGCTGTTGGGAAAGAGTCTTTCAGCTGTTGGGAAAGAGTCTTTCAGCTGTTGGGAAAGATTCTTTCAGCTGTCGGGAAAGAGCCTTTCAGCTGTCGGGAAAGTCTTTCAGCTGTCGGGAAAGAGCCTTTCAAAAGAGCCTTTCAGCTGTCGGGAAAGAGCCTTTCAGCTGTCGGGAAAGAGCCTTTCAGCTGTCGGGAAAGAGCCTTTCAGCTGTCGGGAAAGAGCCTTTCAGCTGTCGGAAAAAGCCTTTCAGCTGTCGGAAAGAGCAGCTGTCGGGAAAGAGCCTTTCAGCTGTCGGGAAAGAGCCTTTCAGCTGTCGGGAAAGAGCCTTTGTCTTTCAGCTGTTGGGGAAAGAGCTGTCGGGAAAGAGCCTTTGAAAAGCCTTTCAGCTGTCGGAAAGAAGCCTTTCAGCTGTCGGGAAAGAGCCCTTCAGCTGTCTGGAAAGAACCTTTCAGCTGTCGGGAAAGAGCCTTTCAGCTGTCGGGAAAGAGCCTTTCAGCTGTTGGGAAAGAGCTGTCGGGAAAGAGCCTTTCAGCTGTTGGGAAAGAGCCTTTCAGCTGTCGGGATCTTTCAGCTGTCGGGATAGAGTCTTTCAGCTGTCGGGAAAGTCTTCCAGCTGTTGGGAAAGTCTTTCAGCTGTTGGTAAAGAGCCTTTCAGCTGTCGGGAAAGAGCCTTTCAGCTGTCGGGAAAGAGCCTTTCAGCTGTCGAGAAAGAGCCTTTCAGATGTCATGCCTTTCAGCTGTCGGGAACTTTCAGCTGTAATCTTTCAGCTGTTGGGTGAGTTTCAGCTGTCGGGAAAGAGCCTTTCAGCTGTTGGGAAAGAGCCTTTCAGCTGTCGGGAAAGAGCTTTTCAGCTGTTGGGAAAGAGTCTTTCAGCTGTTGGGAAAGAGTCTTTCAGCTGTCGGGAAAGAGCCTTTCAGCTGTTGGGAAAGAATCTTTCAGCTGTCGGGAAAGAGGCTTTTAGCTGTCGGAAAAGAGCCTTTCAGCTGTTATGAAAGAGCCTTTCAGCTGTCGGGAGAGAGCCTTTCAGCTGTTGGGAAAGAGCCTTTCAGCTGTTGGGAAAGAGCTGTCGGGAAAGAGCCTTTAGCTGTTGGAAAGAGCCTTTCAGCTTGTCGGGAAAGAGCTTTTCAGCTGTTGGAAAGAGCCTTTTAGCTCAAAGAGCCTTTTAGCCGTCGGGAAAGAGCCTTTCAGCTTTGGGAAAGAGCCTTTCAGCTTGGAAAGAGCCTTTCAGCTGTTGGGGAAAGAGCTTCAGCTGTGGGAAAGAGCCTTTTAGCCGTCGGGAAAGAGCCTTTCAGCTGTTTGGGAAAGAGAGTCTTTACTGTTGGGAAAGATCTTTCACTGTCGGAAAAGAAGCTGTCGGAAAGAGGCTTTTAGCTGTCGGAAAGAGCCCTTTCAGCTGTTGGGAAAGAGTCCTTTCAGCTGTCGGGACTTTCAGCTGTCGGAAAGAGCCTTTCAGCTGTCGGAAAGAGCCTTTCAGCTGTTGGGAAAGAGCCTTTCAGCTGTCGGGAAAGAGCCTTTCAGCTGTTGGGAAAGAGCCTTTCAGCTGTTGGGGAAAAGCCTTTCAGCTGTCGGGAAAGAACCTTTCAGCTGTCGGGAAAGAGCCCTTCAGCTGTCTGGAAAGATTTCAGCCCTGTGTCGGGAAAGAGCCTTTCAGCTGTCGGGAAAGAGCCTTTCAGCTGTTGGGAAAGTCTTTCAGCTGTCGGGAAAGAGCCTTTCAGCTGTTGGGAAAGAGCCTTTCAGCTGTCGGGATAGAGTCTTTCAGCTGTCGGGTCCTGGGGAAAAGTCTTCCAGCTGTTCGGGAAAGTCTTTCAGCTGTTGTCTTGGTAAAGAGCCTTTCAGCTGTCGGGAAAGAGCCTTTCAGCTGTCGAGAAAGAGCCTTTCAGATGTCAATGTCGGGAAAGAAAGCCTTTCAGCTGTCGTGGAAAGAACCCCTTTCAGCTGTCGGGAGAGCTATGTTGGTAAAACGAGTCTTTACATCTGTCGGGAAAGATGTCTCTTCAGCTTCGTCGAAAAGAGCCTTTCAGCTGTGGGAAAGAAGCTTTCAGCTGTCGGGAAAGAGCCTTTTCAGCTGTTGGGAAAGAGTCTTTCAGCCGCTTTCAGCTGTTGGGGAAAGGCCCAGCTGCTCAGCTTTCAAAGCCCCTGCGGAAAGAATCTTTCAGCTGTCGGGAAAGAGGCTTTTAGCTGTTGGGAAAGAGCCTTTCAGCTTGTTCGGGAAAGAGTTTTAGCACTGATTCAGCTGTTGGGGAAAGAAGCTTTTAGCCGTTCGAAAAGTGAGAGCCTTTTTAGCCGTCGCCGGAAGAGCCTTTTCAGCTGTTTGGGAAAGAGCCTTTCAGCTGTTGGAAAAGAGCCTTTCAAGCGTCCTTTTAGCCGTCGAA